AGATGATACTGCAGTGTGAAGAGGACTGCCAAGGCTAAAATATTTAGAATTTACACTAGCACCATGTTCAACTAAATATTTGACAATTTCCAGTGAACCAGATAATACTGGAGAGTGAAGAGGACTGCCATGGCTAAAGTATTTAAAATTTACATTAGCACCATGTTCAACTAAATATTTGACAATTTCAAGTGAACCAGATGATATTGCAGAGTGAAGTGGACTACCAAGGCTAAAAGATTTAAAATTTTCATTAGCACCATGTTCAACTAAATATTTCACAATTTCAAGTGAACCAGATAATGCTGCATTGTGAAGAGGACTATCAACACAAAAGAATCTGATATTTACTCCAGCACCATGTTCAACTAAATATTTGACAATTTCCAGTGAACCAGATGATACTGCAGCTTGAAGATGGCTACCAGCGCTCAAGGTATTCAAATTTACATTTGCACCATGTTCAACTAAATACTTGACAATTTCCAGTGAACCAGATGATACTGCAGATTGAAGAGGGCTACCAACGCTAAAGGCATTCAGATTTACATCAGCGCCATGTTCAACTAAATATTTGACAATTTCCAGTGAATCAGATGATGCTGCATTGTGAAGAGGACAAACATCGCGAATAATTTCACCATTCGCATCAGCACCATGATCAACTAAGCGTTTTACTTCATGAAAATTTCCTGTATGCGCTGCGATCAGAAGTTTCGACATATTTACATATCTATAAAAAGAAAGATAATTATGTAATGAATGGACGTGAATTTTTCTATTTATAAATCATTACGATACTAAGAGCACTCCTATTGTGATGTATATTGGTGTTATAGCAAATTGTGAATCAGAATATTTCAATTTCTGATACTACTATGGTTCAATTTAATGATTCGATCTGTTGTTTTGAGTGTTCTATTGCTCGATTGCATGGTGGGTATCGATGGAATTGAAAATTCTAATTGTCTTAATCACTAAGGTGCATAGAAATAAATGGTCGTCAAGGATTATTACTATTATTATTATTATTATGATTTTGTCCTATTCACATTTTTTCACGTTACCGATTGTTATTTTATGTTATTGGTAATCAATATTTTACCATTGTTATTGTTCGAAAAAATATATACAGTAACCAAACGACTAACAAATAACAAAGTAATACTGTAAAACTTGCTTTCCATCACGTCCTGTGTATATTAGTGTTCCAACTATTAATTAAACTAAGATATTTATACGAACAGCAATGAGCTAAACTATACTAATTAATTACAAGAAAATGAGGCAAATATTTTAATTACATTAATTTTCTTGATATTATCGGCACGTTTATTCTCATTTCAGGTTTTAACAGTAGTATATCTAAAGTTTCATCAATTAAGGTAGCAACAATCTCAGCATATTGGTGGAGGTGGGACAAGGAGCTTATTAAGATTTGGGAATTATTGTGCAATCGAGATACGTTTATTACGATTTCTGTTCAATTTTTGAAGAACAGTCTATAGTAATGATAATTCTGGCTATAATGAGCTCTGTACATAATCTATTTTCTTGTCTTACTATGAAAAATTCTACACTTTCTACCTTTGCTAAAAATGCGGGAAATCGTATCATAGGTTCATGAATAAAATATATCCGGTGGTTCATGCCCTAATGCCTTCCTTAGAAAGCCCCTTTTGTTATAATATTTAGGACTACAACACTGTAATTATTACTTCTCAAATTATATCTATGCAATTTAAACATTTTCAAAATGTTTGAAATGATTTCAGGACAGTGACAGGCAACAGCTTTCAAAGCATTTAATCCTAGTTTGCCAAACTAAGATATCGGTATTTCGTGCTGTGATTCGATCTTGAATACTGGCGACTTGATCTATGCTCATTTACTTAATGCCGTTCTTAAGAATGTCAATGAACTGCCTTGTTTCTCTGAGATTAATGTTCAAGTGAGTTTATGAGTCAATGAGTTGTGAGTCCAAAAAATGCGATTTTGTTTTATTTAACTTTTTGTTATTTTTTCATTTTATGTCCACCAGGATGTTATTTTTTGTTTATTTCTTTGTCCGTCGGTTTGTTTGTCTGCACGCAAAATATTTAGAGAAATAATGGACATAGTTTACGAAATTTTGTGTAAAGAATACTCATACGTCAGGCACGAATCAATCAACTAAATAAGATAAGAATAGGATGAAATACTGATAAAATTGTGCCCTACGTGAAAGCTTTTTCAGTGTCTAAACATCAGTGTCTAAACATCAGTAGTCCCTTGAAAGCACTCATACATTCATGCAAATTATAATATGCAAATTTATTAATTTAAAAGGAAATTTGAGAGCTTTCGGTTCAAAAGGTTATTTTTCCACACGTAATAGATATATACGAACTCCGCAGGGCTGTATTTCGCTAGATGAAGATGCTCTTTCTAGGTTCATGAAAATGCTCTTTCTAGTTTCATGCCGGTAATGGGGTTTCATTCTTCGAACTGTAAACTACAAACCATCATTTCAGAACACGATTCATGTTCTGTACAGTTTTAATGAAAATAAAAATTATAAAACCAATAAAATAAACAACAACAATAGTCACAGTAGTAGTGAGGCCCTGTTAGGGGGGGGTTGAATAATACATAATCCTATCAAAAATTTAAAAATAATCTGCATCCCATTTCTATAAACAAAATTATCCTTTAATAATTTATCAAGATCAAGTGACACTCGACTGATTCATGTGCATGTGTTCCGGTGGCGGACACTTTATGAAATATTGGAGGGGGGGGGGGGTTG